ACCTTCAATACCACGACTGAGGTGCCCTTGAGCAAGGCACTGAACCCCCAACTGCTCCCCGGGCGCTGCAGCATAAATGGCTGCCCACTGCTCCGGGTGTGTGTTCACGGTGTGTGTGTGTTCACTGCTGTGTGTGTGCTCACTGCTGTGTGTGTGCACTTTGGATGGGTTAAAATGCAGAGCACTAATTCCAAGTATGGGTCACCATACTTGGCTACATGTCACGTCACTTTAGTTATCAGTGCAATTACTGCGGATGCTCATGGTTACCCTGGTGTTCAATAGCTGACACCAATAGTTGCTATAATGAACAGATGTTGAGTATTATCTCACCTGTGATTTAGCTGAGATTATCTCTTTTTGCAGTCGCGTTATCTGTCTTTTCAAATCAGCTATTGCACCTTTATTGTCGTTCAGCTCAGTGTTGCACTGGTCAGCTTGCGATGAGATCAAGTCAAACTGTGGGGAAAAACACAGGTATATGCACAATTATGACATTTACATGATATATGTATATATATATTTGTTGCTGAAGGGTTCTGTGGTGTGACATATTCATTTTTAAAATACATTTTTTTACATGTAATATTTGATTAACAATTACAGAAAAAAAAACACTTTTAAAATGGTTTTAGACGAATTATGACATGTCACAAACCAGGGGTTTTCAAACTGGGGTCTAGGGGGTTTGTGGAAAAGTTTGGAGAAAAGCAGTGCAGAAAATGTAAAAAATAAATAAGTAATAAATTTAAGATTAAATGAAATAAATAAATATTTGATTAAAAATGTATTTTTATTAAAAGAAATAATAAATATTTGCTTATAATAAATAAATATATAACAGTGAACCTAAATATTCTCTAAATATTTTTAGACATTTTATAAAATACATTTTTCACTGTATAAATTGAGCCTTTATACATGAAAATATATAGCTGCCTTTTGAATTTTAGATGGCGTCCCTTGCACACGGATGTTCATATTTGGAAGTTTGATCTTGTGAGAATGCAATGAGAAATATTGGAGTTCATATTGAAATCTCAGATTTCTGATAGTTTCGGCCAATCTGAGCACAGTTTGAGACATTGTTGAGATCTCCACTGATACTCTGTAGGAGACACATGTGAGATCATTGTTTTTCTCAGAAAACAGGTTAACAGATTTGCAGAGTTTAATAACAATAAACTAATAAATATTCTCTCTTGCAGATTAATAACAATACTGTCTGCCAAGATTAAAATAAAAAATAAGAACAAAATCAGAACAAATAAATACATTTATATTTCTCTCTATGGTTATTTAACTGCTGAGATTAAAAAGAGAGAGAGAGAGAAGTAAGAATGAATGAATGAATGAATACTTCTGTCCTGCGGGTGCAAATCTGGCTGCTGAGATTAAAATAAACAAATAAGAAAAATCAGTCTAGACAAACAAACAAATATCTCTCCTACGGGTTATTAACACATTCAGCTGCTAAGATTAAAACAAAAAATTAGAAAAAAAAATCGGTATAAATAAATAGTTTTTTTCTCTCTACTTCAGGTCATTAACAAATCTGGCCACTGAGAGTAAAATAAGAAAAAATAAGAAAAAAATCAATACAAACAAACAACTATTTCTCTCCTACAGGTTATTAACAGATCTAGTTGCTTAGATAGATAGATAGATAGATAGATAGATAGACAGACAGACAGACAGACAGACAGAGAGAGAGAGAGAGAGAGAGAGATAGAGAGGGACGGACGGACGGACAGACAGACAGACAGACAGACAGACAGATAGATAGATAGACAGACAGACAGACAGACAGACAGACAGAGAAAGACAGACAGAGAGAGAGAGAGACAGAGAGAGAGAGATAGAGAGGGACGGACGGACGGACGGACGGACAGACAGACAGACAGACAGACAGAGAGAGAGAGAGAGAGAGAGAGATAGAGAGGGATGGACGGACAGACAGACAGACAGACAGACAGAGAGAGAGAGAGAGAGAGAGACAGACAGAAAGATAGATAGAGAGAGAGAGAGAGATAGAGAGGGACGGACGGACGGACGGACGGACAGACAGA